CAAAATCAAAGATATCATTATCTTAAAAGCATAACTCTTCAAACTGTTTTGGTGCTAGTTTGGTTTAAGTGATCGTCAGGAAGAGTTCTGAATCTGATCCGAGTAATTTTATTATTAATAAATAACATTAAACAAGTATTATTAAGAAAAACTTGTAATTAGATAATTTATAAATCTAATTACAAGTTTTTCTTTTAATAATATTTATATATATATTTATTTAACATTAAAACAAATTTATAGTTACATATAGTAATATCTATTAGCAGATCCTACTATTTTAGCAATTGCTTTTTCAAGTTTATGAGATTTACTTTTAATCAAAATAGTAGATATTTTATACAAAAATTTTATATCAAATTTTTATTTTCTATATACTCATCATTTTTAACTTAAAGAACATATTCAAATATTTTTTTTTTATTTCTTTTGACTTGATAGAATTTTGATTACTTTTATTAACCTTTGCAACATAGTAATTTTGTAAATCTTTATTTCGACAATAACAACATATTTTTGTAAGATTTTCAGTTTTACTAACAAAGGCTGTTTTTTCTAAACTTCTACTATATTGATTACATTTGCACAAGCTGTTAAACATTATTTAATTTGATAAAAAATTTTTTTTATGCTTTAGCAAACATTTTCATTTTAAATATCAGTGATAAGTAAAGTGATCATAAATGTAATACAAAATTTAATAATGAAACATACTACATATGTACTATTACGTATACAAATTGTCAGTAAAATATTATTGGCTAAGAATAGACACTAATCTCATGATTAGAAACGTAAATCCCAACAGTGATGAATTACTATTGGCTGGATATTGTGTAACCGATAATTTTTTCCGGTGTTGTTGGGGTAGTTGGCTTTAGACGACCCCCAAATAAGGGGGACGTCTAAAGCGAAGGCAACTCATATTTCTTAATAATTTACTTGATCAACTTTAGGGCTAAGGTCACTTTACGTTAGGGTTAGTTTAGGTTTTAGGTGGTTATATATATGCAAAATTGCCTTCCGACATTTTTAATTAACCTACCCGAGGTGGTTTAGACTGCTGTTTTTTGTATTTTTCGGTTTTTCGTTTTTCTTGTAGTGCTTCGCCGGCGATCATCAAAATTCCATAATTTGATTGGAAGATAATCATGTGAACTACCTCCGCTTTAGACGTCCCCCAAATAAGGGTCGTCAGAAGACTATCAATTACCATGAATAAACATCAAACCAACCAAATCTTCGAAAAACGTAACACCAAATTGAGACGATTACCTTTGTGCGCTAAAATAACTAGATCATTTTTTAAAAATCATTAATCAGGTGAGCTTCGTGGCTGATGCTGCATTTCCTTATTTGTTTATAAGTACGACAAATATCGATACGTATTGATTTAAGTAAACAAAAAAAAAATGAAAAAAAAATGGTTTACGTATAAAGATTTTATATAAATAGTCTAGGTTATTGACCATTTTTTCCTTAAAAATGTCATCATATGAATAAATTCTTCGTGGCCTTGAATTATCCCTCAAAGATCTTATTGAAAAACATCTTCCCATCAAATCCAATTACTAGATTGTTAAACATTTATTTATCTTAATAAAAATAATATGCCTCGCATATCCGATGGAAACATTGATCTTTATGGTCAATACAAGCTTTTAATTTTTTTGATCCAGAGTGAATGGTAAGAATTTCTTGCTAAATACGTGTTGATAGTGAATATTTGTTTGTAAATATTCACAATGACCTTTTGACAA